TCTGCAAGTCTTATTTCTTGCCTTCACTTTTTGGATATTGCGCAGTTCTTGTGTAACACGCTCATTGGTTCAGCAAGCGTCAACTGCTACTTGAGAATTGGCGTCATTCCGCCGCACTACTCTTGCGTGTTCGGCAATTCAAATATTGAGAAGTCTTCCAGTTCGTCCGATGAAGTTGCTTCATACATATTTGAACCAAATCTTATAAAGGATTCCAGATGCTTTTGCCGTGGCAGTGGGTCTTCTGGTTTCATTATCTGACGCCTTATGGTTGCCTCTGGTCTGTATGCGAACCCAACTCCAGATGGTGCGAGAAGGCGGCCGAACGGTTGCCAGGCGTTTTTTGAAGCGTGGAATCGCTCTACAAAATTTCGACAGCACAAGCCCATCTAGAGTTGACGTGTAGGTCATTTTGATCATGGGTCAGAAGACCTCACAGAGTGTGACTAGACCTACTGACACTTCAGCCTTCACACTCCCAAATCTAATGAGGAGAACAACCCATGATTTCTCAGTTCATGCTAGCAAGATGAGGCATTCTGCGCAAAAATACCGGAGTCTGCGTTGGTCCTGGACCTCGGCTATTTTCTTAATGCTATCGTCCTTTCAATTACTGTTCTGGTAAGTGGTAAGGGCGTCAATGGCTGTATAAGGTTTGTCCTGACCAAGGTGGCTGTTTACCAGAGAAATAACGGATCCAACTAAATTCTTAGCTTTAATCGTGAAACTTATCCCCCTTGGTTGACAAGTAAAATATCATTCCACGCCCAACTGTTTCCGCGTTTGTCAGGCTCCACCGAGACTTGAACTCGGGTTACTGGATTCAAAGTCCATTGTGCTGACCACTACACCATGGAGCCGACGGTCGGCTTCTCTTCTATGTTTTAGTTCTTGTCTGCACTGTGATAACAGTATTTTGCGCAGTCAGTGTGTAGCACATTGTTCGACTCAGTAAGCGTTGTTGTCATAGCCACGACCAACAAGAAGCGAGCGTTTAGGGCCTATAAGTAAGGCAGTCGCTTATGCAGACTATTACCTAATTAATGAACAAATATAAAAGCGGACTGATTATGTTCGAATTTCGCCGTCACAAACCCTCATAGACAAAAATTACTGCCATAAACTCGAAAGAATTCTATGTCCTATTGCAGTTGTGACCTCCACTCAAATTCTTAGAAGGAAAAACTAGCCCAGTGTTTTCTATGAAACATATTTAAGTAAATGAGCACCCCGGACGCTCCTGTTCGATGAACCATGAATGCTACCCAGTCCGTCCGCTAATCGGCATGCACCATTTCCTGATTGGCTGGGCCTCGTTGATAGCACACGCTCACGTCCCTTCAGACGTGGTTCTGTGGCCGGTTGAACTGTCCTATCGCCCCGACAATGGATGTGTTTAACCAAAATGGGGGCCTAATCAGGATGCGGCAGGCATTATTAGGGATGCGCACTCATAAAACAGGGTGTGGGGGCGATATGCGATCACCACCTGGCGTTGGCCACGGAAGTGATAGTGTCTGTACTAGCGTATTCTGTCAACACGGCACCAGATTCGTTAGCCGTATGGCCACTGCTTCGGCTGTTGCTGGCACCCTTTGGCCTAGGCCCTTGGAGCAGTTGGCTGGTGTCCGGTCGAAAGCCTAAGGGGCTTCGTTAGGATCGACTCGAGGATTCGATTCGTTGTCATATCAGCTCGTTTGTTGCATCGCCTAAGAAAGGTAGTCTTGACAAATATACTTTTAAGTAGGGTTCAGTTTCCTTTCAAGAACCTGGAGCTTATAGTTTTTATGCAAATGTAAGCGTTTTTGTGTTGTGTTCTAACCTTACACAGGGACAAGTCAAGAATACCCCGGTCGAATGACAAACCGACGGTCAACAAGGATGCCGGTAGCTAAAGAGCAGACCGTCAAGCAACAGAACGCCGCCAATACAAAGAGAATCATCAAAAAGACCTATGATGCAATTGACGAAACAATACGTTCTTTTGGACAGAAAACGCTGGATGCGATAACCAAGGCCGTAAGAAACACCCTGGAGGAACTCTGGCGTAGTCTATGTGCCAAGGAGGCTTCCGTTCTAATGAAGGATATACCAATAGGACAAACGCTCAAAAGAGGTAAGCATGTGCCTGCTTCAAATATGTTGATTGGTGGGAATGAATTTTTCGTTGCGAGTAAAGTAAGTTCATCGCAGTTATCCAGTTCTCAAAAGGCACATAAAGCAGATCCTTTCACAGTCTACACTTTTCGTTAAGGGGCGACTGCATCTTTTAAAATTAAAAGGTTTTTAAGGAATGCCTGTTATAACCCGCGCCTGGTACTTGTATTGAACACAAACTGCGAGCTTGCCTGACCGTTTTTCCTAAAGCCAGCACACTAGATGAAGGGAAGGCAATCGACCACGCAGAGAGTTGTATTAACAAAAAAGCAAATCATTCTCCCAAAACGACTGCAGATATTTATTGATCCGATGGATCAGGGAGTGTCGGCGACATGGACCAATCAGATCTCACGACAGATCGATAGACATGGAGCGCGCCTTCATTACAGCAGCTTTTAAGCCCTTGCTCAGGCGCCTTTCTGAGTGATGTATCATTGTGGGATAGGAGACAGTCTAAACAATGTCTTTCAGTGAAATTGCAGGCAGTGCATAGAGCTCCTGCATACAGTGCGGTTTAAAATTCCTGTAACATGCGGAAATATACGAAAGATTGATACTCTTTCTCTAATCATAATTTGAGTAAGGTTGTAATACTGATTATCGTGGAGGCCATTCTGAAGTCACTTCTGTCTCGATATGACGCCGGCCTTTTAACGAGCTTCTTTCTGACCACTTACAAAACGTACGTACTGTAAAAGATGGCTACTTAAGTAGTATGAATTATCATTGATTTTGACTGCCTTTATAAATTCAAATATATTTTATGGAAAGCGATCTTTGATTTTGACTGCCTTTATAAATTCAAATATATTTTATGGAAAACATGCACATGATTTTGACTGCCTTTATAAATTCAAATATATTTTATAGAAAACATGCACGGGATTTTGACTGCCTTTATAAATTAAAATATATTTTATGGAAAACATGCACGAAAAAATGATTTCTTCTACTTGTTTGATAGCAAATTACGCCTTCTTTAATTTTTTTACTCAAAGAAAGGGTACCATTCGGTTGTAAAAAGGTTTCTAATAATGAGCTTTTTTACGATTGTGAGATGTTCATTCATTATACATCACATCCGTCAATTTATTAATCCTGCCTATAATGTGTGCAGCACGTTCCACATATGTTGCAATATATTATGAAAACCATGCGACTTCTTCCTCAAACCGTAAGCGAAAACGTACTTTTCCTTACACAGGATGTACACAGCGTGGAGATTGTAAACCTTCCATTCAAGTCTACTAGTCACTAGGTTTAGACATTTATATAACTTTTATAAACTTTTATAAACTTTTTAACCGACAGATACCCTTCCCTTGAGTATAAAATTTAAAGAAGGCGTAATTTTCTACCAAACGAGTATGAAAGAATTTTTTCGCTTATTTTTTCCATAAAATATATTTTAATTTATGAAGGCAGTCAGAATCAATGATAAAATGCATACTACTTAAGTAGCCACTTGTTACGATATATACGTTTTGTTAGCGGCCAGATAGAAGCTCGTTAAAAGGCCGGCGTCCTATCGTGACAGCAGTAACTTCAGAATAGCCTACATGGTAATTAGTATTACAACCTTACTCAATGCCGTTTAGCGAATGAGTATCAATTTTTCGCATATGTCGGCATTTTACACGAATTCTAGGCCGTACTGTAGTAATATAAGGATGGCTAGAGTAACAGCAGTTTACGCTTTCAATAAGCAGTAAGTATGGGGGAGAGGGGTGGGGGCGTTCACAGACCAGGGGTTATAGTCTGGTCGTATCAGGGGGCTGAGGGAGGGGGAAGTAGGTTCTCGGCCCTTTGATGCGTTTTATTTTCGTCCTACTCGGCATACGTGTTCACACCTCCTGCCATTTCATGAAGCTGAGACGTAGCTAAGGGTCGGACACCCCCCTCCCCCTCCATCTCCCCTACCCTCCCTCAGCTTCACACCTTCAACCCTTTCCTCAATACTAACTGTTTATTGGATG